TAATTTAGTTATAATTAGTAGTTGTTAAATTGTAGTTGATAATCACAAAAACCCAAAAATGATAGAAGATCAATTAGAAGCAAACACGCAATTCTAGGCTAAACAAATATCCAACTCCCTTTCTAGCTCCCTGTGGAAATTGACCCCGATACCACTATTGGGTAAAAGTATTAGCGCCCACTCTTCCTAAGGTTGAGTCCGCTGCGACCTAATCACCCAGCAGCGTGAATCCATGGCCGTCCCAGCAGCAAGTTGTAGGATGCGGGCACATCTATTACTTGAAAATCAACATCGAACCAGGTTGGTCCCATCTGCAGACATAAGCTAATCTCACCAATGGTGGACCTCTGAGACCCATCAAAGGCTTTCACGTTGATTGCTCCTTCTTTTATCTCGTGCAGCCCTTTGCCCAACTTCTTGAGTGTTACTAGGGGACAAATGTTAAGGTTGAAACCCCCGTCGACCAGGATCCTGGTGATGAAATAGTCCTCGCATTACACGGTGATATGTAGGACTCTGTTGTTACCCGGCCCTTCAGGTGGCAGCTCGTCCTCATAAAAGGTGATTTTATGGCTCTCTAATACCTGTCCCACCATATTAGCCATTTCCCGCCAGTGATGTTGCTTGGCACGTAGGCTTCACTCAGCACCTTCAACAGAGAATTTTTGTGTGTCTTGGAATTCTGCAGCAATGAGAGAATAGATATCTACGTTGGTGTTTTGTTTAGCTGGTCGATGACTGAATACTACTTGGCCTGTATCTTCCTCCAAAGGTCATCTGGACCTGTTTCAATGATGAGTGGTCGGTTGGAAGCTTGCTTACTAGACTCAGCTAAGTGTTCCAGGGTATAGACTCTTCCAGTCCTTGTCATACCCTGTGCTGCAATAGTCTCTTCGAACCTGACTTTGCCTTTCCTCCTAGCCTCGGCTGTATAATCCCAAGGTATAGCTTTTGTATGGAATGGCAGCATGGTGGTCATCGCCACTGGAATCGGTGCGGCTACCTTCACTTCAAATGGGACATGCTCCATGGGTGTCAAAATTGTAACCTCAAACAGTGCCGGAGTTTTTGCTGATGGCGCTGCCTCAAACTCAAGAGGGATATACACATCTACCTTAGTGACCTCGGACGGTTGGATCTGGACTATGATGGGTTTGAGAGTAACTGCTGGTTTCTTTGGATCATCGCGTTCTGCGATCAAACCGATAGATCCCTCGGGATCCCAATCATTCTCCACTTTAATCATGTGAATTCCCCTGCCCTTATGGTCCGGTAGAGGGTTGTTGCGGATATTTGGGGCGGGTTCCTTTGCCACAATAACCTTATTATCGATCAGAGACTGGATCTTGTCTTTCAAGGAACGACATTCGTCGATGGTGTGCCCTTTCATGCCGGAGTGGTATGCACAGGATTTGTTTGGGTTAACCCACTGTGAAGGGTTCTCAGGGGATGTAGCAGGGATGGGGGTGACATAACCGGTGGTTTTGAGTCTCTCATATAGTTGGTCAATGGGTTCAGCAATAGCCGTATATTCTTTGGGAGGCCTGCGGTCAAAATTTGGTCGGGGTCTAGGGAAGTTCCGACGGGCAGGAGGTGACTGATAGTGGGATGGTTGAGCATTGTAAGTTTGGTAGACATGTGCGGGTTGGGAATATCTGGGCGAAGCAGGCTGATATATGGGAGGCAGAGATTGTTGATAGGCGGGTGGTGAGGGTGCTTGATAGTTCGGTGTGGGCTGATATGTGAGTGGAGGTGTTGGGTAGGTTTGGTAATTGATAGGAGATTTGGTCCTTTGTGCAACCATCACGGCTCCTATGTCCCTGTTTTTGGACACACCACCGGACTCCAAGGCCTTATTTGTAGCTTACAAGGCCTCAAAGTTTGTAACCATACCGCTCTTAATGCCTTCTTTGATTCGTTCCCCCAGTTTGATAATGTCAGAAAATTTGTGGCTCTCGATCATCATTAGTCGTTCAAAGTATTGCGGGTCTTGGGCCCGGACAAAGAATTTGTTCATCTGTTCCTCCTCTAAGGCAGGTTTGACCTTAGCAGCTTCGGACCTCCAGCGAGTAGCATACTCGCGAAATATTTCGGTGGGCTTCTTCTTTAGATTCTGAATATAGAACACATCCGGTGCATTCTATGTGTAAAACCTGAACCTGTCCATGAAATCGGACGCCATGCCTACCCAGCTTGACCATTTCTTTGGATCTTGGCTAATGTACCAAGACACCGCATCTCCTTTTAGGCTCCTCATGCACAGCTTCATGTGGATTCTCTCGTCTTTCCCTACCCCAACCAGCTTGTCACAATACGTCCTCAAATGGACCCTTGGATCGCCTGTATCGTCAAACATCTCGAACTTCGGAGGTTTGTACCCCTCGGGAAGTTCGACATCGGGCTGTATGCAGAGATCTTCATAATTCAGCCCCTCAATTCCCTTGTTTCCTTCAACAGCCTGAATCCGGCTTGTCAATTTCTTAAGTTCTTCAGCTAGGTTCCTGATGAGCAAGTCTTTATCATCAGACTCGGGTGTGCCTGAGATGGGTTGGGCGGAGAGTGGCATGGTCTCCACGTAGATGGGGGTGTTATGGTGGGTGTGGAAGTGGTCATTTGTGGAGTTTTGGAGTTCTGGGAGAAGTAACGGGGTATTGTTTGAGTTATGGCAGGTGTTGCATTGGGTTTTTGGCGGAACAGCATGAGGAGTGGGATGATTCTGTCGCTTCGCGATATTTTGAGGTGGTGTAGGGTTTTGAGTATTGGGAAAGGTGATATCTGGGGTGCTGAGCGAGAATGACAAGCTTGCCAAAATCTGAACCTGGTCGAGCTCTTCCTGGAAGTTCAGCAATTTCTGTTCAAGCTGGGATACATTTTCCTGAGTACCATGACCATTAGTGACCTCTAACCATTCAGTTGAATTCTCCTTTCTGACGTTGTTCAAATCTTCCATCTTGCCGTTGTTCTTGTTTTTGATAAGACTAAGAAGAGGAGTGGTTGGAGGGCCCCTGGATGTCGTGGAATAGGATGATGTTGCCAGAGTGCACGAACTAACCTTTGGGGAGGAGAATAAAAACAAAAAGTAAAAAAAAAACAAAAAGGTAACCAAGTTAGTGAGGATTATAGGAAGTATTGCAATATTTAAACACATAGTGCGGGAACGTAAATCGTGTCGTAATTTGGGGACCTCTTTGTGCCCGAGGTAGGCCTAGCGACAAGTTGATTTGGAGATGATAGGTTACAAGTACCTTGGGCACAAGTACTTTACTTTGTGTTTTGATGATCCAACAAACTTACCATCCAGAACCAGATAAGGAACCTGCTGCACACTTACAAGACCTTGAGATCACAAAGTTCCAGGTTGGGATCCAGCCCTTGGGAAAGCAAGGAGACTTGTAGGAGCTAACCATAGAAGAGCTGGTTGAAATCTGAAGATCTACGAGATGAAGAGGAAGATAGACAGTGAAAGAAGAGAACCAAATAAAGAAAAGAATCTGGTACTCAAAGCTGATAGCAATGACTCAAGTGAGGAAGAGCGGAAGGAAAGGTGAGATAACAGGTCCCTACTAGTTCCCGAGGAGACTGTATGAAGTCAACTCTCCAGCAGGAAAATTGTTGCCTGCACACGTTACTGCACAAGATCAGCGCAGCAGTCAACTTTCTGTGGAAGGCTCTTTACCTACCTTGCTTACATCATTGTAAGTAATGTCACACATGCATAAACACAATCAATGAAGGTAAAACACCTTACTTCATGAGAGAACCAGATGAAGGACCTGAAGCATGCCTAGTATAATCATTCAAGTTTATCGACTCAAGATAATCTGGGCAGTGTGCCTTCAGAATCACAGGAACCAGATTAGGGACCTGATACCTTGGTGTTCCCCTGACAGAAGAAAAGTCAACAGTACAGCTGGAAAGCAACTGCAGAAAGTGATTGCCTGCAACTATACACACAACAGTTCTGCAGACAGTGCAGCAGTCACTACCCATTGAGAAAGGGGCATGTACTAACCAAGATTGGACATCACCATTGTGAATTGACATCACTAAGGTGATGTCTTTTGTAAGATAAACCTAGTGCAAGACACAAGGCCTCCTCACCAAGATTTGTAAAACCAGAAACGGAAATACTCTCTCAAGTGCAAGAACAACCTCTCTCAAAACCAAAGCTGCTTCAACCTCAAGGACCTGATCCAAGATCGAAGATATCTTAAGTCCTTAGGTTGTTGAGTCTTTGTTATTTGTTCTTCATTGTAACTCCTATCTAGCTTTCTTAGAAGCTATTTTCAGGAAATCCAAAATCACAAACCCTCCAAGTTTGTGTCTTTGCTAGAGTTAGTCAAGTTGTAAAGTCTTTGTAACTAGAGAGTTACAAAGTGGCTTGTAATAGTGTTATTACAAGTTAGAGTGAAAATCCTTTGTTACTGTAGAGTGACAAAGTGGCTTTTGATGAGAGCACCACAAGTTAGTCAAATTCTTTGTAACTAGGATAGTTATAGAGTGGATTGTGATGAGAGCATCACAAGTTAGTTGAAGTCTTTACAATCGGAAGCATAAAGTGGCTTGTAATAGGTAAGATTATAAGTAAGTAAAAGCCTACAAGGTAGGTCGTGGTTTTTTTATCCCCTTGTGCGGGATTTTTCCACGTAAAAATCCTCTGTGTTCTTTATTTACTGCCGAGCTACTGCGAGAACATTTAGAGAACCTGATTCCCTATATTGGTTGATTTTACAGTTTGTTGCTTACAGTGGAAACTTATAGGGAATCTGGTTCTCTACATAGTGGGAACTTATTCTGTGTCTTATTTACACACTGGTTCAGTAATTACCATTGTGGGAACTGATATAGGACCAGATTGCTATACAGTTCGGGTCATTAGTATCTTTAGTGGAAACTCATAGAGAACTCGGTTCTCTATACAGTCTGGTGGACGCACAGTTTCTAACAATTAGTATCGGAGCGGGTTCTTTCTAAAAGGTTAACACCTAGAAAGGATCTACATGGCTGCTCCACCAAACCTTGAGGAAAGTCAATCAACTAATAGACCACAAAGATTTCATAAGATGGTTCGCAAAAATGGTGGGATCCCAAAGAAAGGAAGCTCCAGCAGGAATTCCAAAGGAAATGATTGTTGTCATAAGTGTGGAAAGCCTGGACACTTCATCAAAGACTGCCCATTTCTGAAACAAGAGCATTACAAATACAACTCTGACAAAGTAGCAAAAAGGAACCTGGTTCCTGACAAACTATTCAGCCAAAAAAGTTCAGCTGACAATGTTGTGAAGCAAGCTCTTGCTGCTTCGGGAGACTCCTCCAGTGAATCAGAAGAGGAACCAGATGCAGGAAGCAGCTCCATGATGGCAGTACAAAATGAAGCAAAGGAACTTGATTCATTATTTGCATTGACGGCTCAGTCCGATGAGGATGAAGAGAATGACAATGATGAGGCAACTTTTAGGGATGTTCAGAGAAATCTGAAGTCCTACTCTTCGAAAAAATTGATGTCATTAGCAAATGTTCTAATTGATACATATTATAGTTTTGTTAATGATAAAGATGCCCTAATCATAGAGCTGGGAGATGCTGAACAGTCTAGAGATGATTTGATGGTAGTGGTTGATGACTAGAAGGAAACCATAGAAACCCTTAGCAAAGAAAAGAACACTCTAGTAGAAAAAATTGCAACTACTGAGCAAGAAAGGGAAGATATGGTAGTTTCCTTTGAAGATTTAAGGGAACAAATGGAAGAAGTAATTAGAGAACACAACTTGCTGAAAAAACAAACAAAAAAATGGATGGACAACACTGAGGGAGAAGAAGTGGTTAGAAAGGCTCAACTTGAGCTTGAGAGTGAGCTTAAGAAAATTAAAACAAGTCTTGTTGCTGAGCTTGAAAAGAATAGACAACTTCAGGAGGACTTAAAAAGGGTTAAAAATGATCTTGATAAGTCACTAAAATGGACCCGGTCCTCTGATGTGATAACGTGTAATGGTGGAAACAGGCAAGGCATCGGGTTCCCAAAGGCTAAAACCTCCTATAATCACCATATGAAGTATGTAACTATGGCTGATAATAGGTTGTGCACTCACTGTGGTCAAACTGGTCATTACAAGGACTCTTGTAAAGTTAAAATTCAGTCTTTACAGAAAAATAGAGTTTTTGTTGAAAAGAGGTGTACTGATGAGGAACCTGGTTCCCTGAAAAGAAAATATGTGCTGCCTGCATGGGCAAAAAGATGTTTGATCCGCCCGTTCTATCATTATAAGGGACCCAAGCTGGCTTGGGTTCCTAAGTCTAATCATTGACTTAAGTGTGTAGGGAACAGTGAAAAGGAGCAGTCAACAGTGGCACATGGATAGCGACTGCTCGAAGCTCATAACTGGAAGAACAAATGATTTCCTTTCACTGAAGGCCCTGCAAGGAGGGAGTGTATCCATTGAAAATGGCAAGAACGGGTACATTCTTGGAGTTGGAAGGATCGGGAAGTCTCTTCCCCACTTTAGTGAAAAATGCATACTTTGTGAAGGGGATCTTAGCTGTCTAAGTGCTGTTAATGATAATGCTGTGCTATGGAACAGAAGGCTGGGTCATGCAAGTTTCACGCTGCTGAACAAATGAGTCAAGAAGGACCTGGTTCGCGGTCTGCTTAAGTCAAGCTTCAAGGATCACAGGGCGCATGATGCATGTGTAAGAGGAAAGCAAGTCAGATCCTCTTTCAAGCCCAAAAAGGAAGTTAGCATCTCAAGGCCACTTGATCTCCTCCATATGGATCTATGTGGACCTATGAGGATGCCAAGTAAAGGAGGAAAGAGAACTTAAGATGAGACTCCAGCCGATATAGAGGAACCTGGTCCCTCAATCACAATAACTGAAGCAGAAAACAAAGTTGTGGATGTTGTACAAGGAATCTCATATGAAAGCTGCCAAGAGAATCCTAAGATATCTCAAAGGGATGCATGACCTGGTTCTCTACTATCCCTTGGTTGAAAACTCTGACTTGATTGGTTATGCTGACGCTGATTATGCAGGCTATCTGGTGGATAGAAATTGCACATCTGAAGCGGCACATCTTCTGGGGGACAATGTTGAAAAGGTTCTGGTTTGTATGAAGCTCTAGAAGACGAAGGATCAGGTAGCAGACATCTTCACCAAGGCCCTGAGCAGGGAACATTTTGAAAGAAATTTTCTGGAGTTGGGGATGATCAAGCTCAACTAAGGACCTGGTCCCTCGATGATTGGCTATGTTAAGAAGGAAAGGTACAATGCTAAAAAGTGTTTTTCGGCGACATCTAACTCAAATCTATACTGTTACAGGTATACACATATGGCAATCTCAGGACAAAAACAAGTAAGAATGACATTGCACTTCTAGGAGTCTTTGCTCAAAATTTTCAAAAATAGTCACGGAACCTGGTTCCTGTGACTCAGGTTAGTAGTCTCTTCAATACTTATATGCCTTTTTAAGCTGCTGAAGTGTCATGTCATCAATTTGTTTCTGCCTTTCTCCTGCCTCTCTTCCTAACCTTTGAAGTCCAAAATGTTAATCCTTTTCTAAACTGACCCGTTGCCCCAAAAAGGCACTTCTCTATCTTACACCCAAATAAAGCCGATTCTTTTCTTCAAAGCCAAAAATCAACCTTGTCTCAGAATAATCCTTCTTTCCAAATATGCCAGAACTGATGTAAGCCCAACTCTCTCACTTTCCAAAAAAACCTAACTCCATCAGAATCAAAACCCCAAGAATTCTTTGGTAGATTTTGATGGAAGTTTAACCGAAAGGGAACAGGGCAGATCTAACATCCTAGAGTGTGAGGCTGAAGTTGTTGCTAGATTTGTGGAAGCCTTGAAGGATGGAGAAATTGGTAAATGTGAGGACTGAATAAGGGACCTGATCCCTCGAGTCCTTCTCATAAAGTTAATTTTAATGATGATCTTTTTCTCCTTAAGTTCTGTGTATAAACAAACTTTTGATCAGTAAAAAGGATTGATGAAAAGTAGGCTGATTAATGGTGAAGTGGTGTGAGCTGCTGATGTGATTAGAGAATGAACTGAAATCTTTTCCTGTGAGAAAGAATTTACACAAAAAAATAGCTGAGAAAGATGCAACAGATGATAAGGATAAACAGATTGAGAACAAGAAGAGGAAGACATGGTTGCTCAGGGATAGAAAGGGTAGTGTAAGTGAGGAACCTGGTTCCTTACAGAAGCAAAAGATTAAGCCATTAGGTTTGGAAGGAGAAGACGTTGAAGTCTCAAAAGGTGCTGTAAGGCAGAGTGTTGTCTCTAATATTGGCTAAAAATGGAGGAACTTCTCAACATTGTTGAGTTCCAAAGATAGAATCACCTCTTTGTTCCTCCAAGTCCCAATATTTCTAAAGAAGAAGTAAAAACTTCTATGTTTTACGTGATACTATGATGCTATATGTGCATGGGACTGAGTATGTTCTTGATGAGACAAAGCTTGGGGAGATTCTTGGTGATCTGATTGATGGTTTAATCTACTCAGATAGGTTGAGAACCTGGTCCTCAAGGACCCTTGGCAGAATAGAATGCTAAGTTTAAGGGTGAGAATGAAAGATTGAGGAAAAAGGTGGAGTAACTGAGAGAGCAAATGATCATTGATCAAAGGAGAGTAAATGAACGAATGGACAAACTCATCACGGCCTTAGCCCCTTACTTTTCCTCCTGCCCAGTGATCCATGTCTTTCACTCCTTCCAAATTCCCTTGAATTCTTATCCTTTTCTGATCCCTATATTTGATGACATTGGTACTTCAGTTGTTTAAATTGTCATATTATGTATTGATTGAAGCTACTGTGCTTTTATTATCATTACTTCACTATGGGCAATCACTCTATGATGTGCACTGACATTCACTTGTTGTTCTTGTTATTGTTTATGCTGTGTTGCCCAAGTGGCCTGAGTTAATGTTGTTGAACTTCTTTTTGGTAGTACTTCTGTTATTCTTTTCGATGATGACAAAAGGGGGAAGTTATATAGGTGTCAACATGCATGAAAGATGGATTTGCTTCGCAGGGGGGAACGTTGCTGATAATGCAGGGAAACATATGAGGAATCTGGTTCTCTGGTTCTCAAGAGATAGATCTGCTTCTTAGGGGGAACGTTGCTGATAAAATGTTGATTATAGGTCTGATCCATAGGAAACATGTGAGGAATCTGGTTCTCAAGAGGAATATTAATTCTGGGTTTGTCATCATAAAAAAGGGGGAAATTGATAAGTTATGGAACTTTGAGTTTTGATGATTTGCCAAACAGTCTTGAGGAACCAGTTGTGATCGGCTCCTTGGTTCGGTTTTAATGGAGAATATGGCTGATTTGTAGGTTTTTAATGGAGAATATGGCTGATTTGTAGGGGGAACCATATGGAGATCTGGTTCTAGGGGGGAATATCAATTCTAAGTTTGTCGTCATCAAAAAGGGGGAAATTGAAAGGTTACAAGTACCTTGGGCACAAGTACTTTACATTGTGTTTTGATGATCTAACAAACTTACCGTCCAGAACCATATAAGGAACCTGCTGCACACTTACAAGACCTTGAGATCACAAAGTTCTAGGCTGGGATCCAGCCCTTGGGAAAGCAAAGAGACTTGTAGGAGCTAACCATAGAAAAGCTGGTTGGAAATCTGAAGATCTACGAGATGAAGAGGAAGATAGACAGTGAAAGAAGAGAACCAAATAAAGAAAAGAATCTGGTACTTAAAGCTGATAGCAATGACTCAAGTAAGGAAGAGCGGAAGGAAAGCTGAGATAACAGGTCCCTACCAGTTCCCGAGGAGACTGTATGAAGTCAACTCTCCAGCAGGAAAGTTGCTGCCTGCACACGCTACTGCACAAGAACAGCGCAGCAGTCAACTTTCTGTGGAAGGCTCTTTACCTACCTTGCTTACATCTTTGTAAGTAATGTCACACATGCATAAACACAATCAAGGAAGGTAAAACACCTTACTTCATGAGAGAACCAGATGAAGGACCTGAAGCATGCCTGGTATAATCATTCAAGTTGATCGACTCAAGATAATCTGGGTAGTGTGCCTTCAGAATCACAGGAACCAGATTAGGGACCTGATACCTTGGTGTTCCCCTTACAGAAGAAAAGTCAACAGTACAGTTGGAAAGCAACTGCAGAAAGTGACTGCATGCAACTGTACACGCAACAGTTCCGCAGACAGTTCGGCAGTCACTTCCCATTGAGAAAGGGGCGCTTACTAACCAAGATTGGACATGACCATTGTGAATTGACATCACTAAGGAGATGTCTTTTGTAATATAAACCTGGTGCAAGACACAAGGCCTCCTCACCAAGACTTGCAAAACCAGAAGCGGAAATACTCTCTCAAGTGCACGAACAACCTCTCTCAAGAACAAAGCTGCTTCAACCTCAAGGACCTTATCCAAGATCGAAGATATCTTAAGTCCTTAGGTTGTTGAGTCTTTGTTATTTGTTCTTCATTGTAACTCCTATCTAGCTTTCTTAGAAGCTATTTTCAGGAAACCCAAAATCACAAACCCTCCAAGTTTGTGTCTTGGCTAGAGTTAGTCAAGTTGTAAAGTCTTTGTAACTAGAGAGTTATAAAGTGGCTTGTAATAGTGTTATTACAAGTTAGA